TACAAGACCAAGTTGCGACAACAAGGTCAACCCACTTCCATAGAATTTTGGTTTTTCCATTCCTACATTCCTACTATATTATGTAAAAAAATGCACTTGGAGAAGTTCATTAGCTGGTAGCTCTTTTCACAGCTGAAAATATATGACCAAACCAGATTCATATATCTACATCGATAAAATATCCTTAAATATGTACCTTACAAATAGAATATATTATTATGTGATTTATAAAGGACTAAACTTTGTGACTTGAAGCTACATCTGTCTTTAAAAATATTTGACATATATAAGCTTTATATAATCAAATAGCACCAATTCTGATTTGACGTTGTGAATATGCTATATGCTTTGAGGTAACTAAGGTTTCAGAAGCACGACCATAACCTAGGCTATTTAGACCTTTCTTGTTTGGAGGCTAAACTAGACCCCCTTCCTGATTCCATATGATATCCTAAGGTAGTTTTTGCTTGTTTTCCTATATCCATTCATGTTATTAAGGAAATAGTTGAATTTTTAGTTTCTATGTATAGCTTAGTCTTTTGTATACAGATTATATAAATTTTGTTTTACTTTTTAATTTAATTTCTATGGAAGTAAAGTATAATTTATGCCATTAAAAGATCTACTTAAAGCAGATTTAAGTATCTAAAAAGGTCTAAAGAAATTATATTTAAGATAAATACTTAATTTTGAATACGGATCGCCTATTTAAAAAGATTGAAAAGTAGGATAAAGATTAATAACTGAGTTGCATAACTTAATTTGGATCATGGCTCTAGCATCAAATTGGATTAATCAAATAAATTTGTATATAATAACTTTGATAGCTCATAGGGTTGTTTGTTTGGATCATAATTATGAATTTATGCACATAAAAGTCTATACTCTAGGTTAATATATAACTAGTTGCAAAAAATATGAGAAGAACAGGTCTGGGAAGCAAATACTATTCTTGATAGAGATATTATTCATTTGGATGCCTATGGTCATTATATTCGCAAAGAAGGGGTCCCAATAATTGTTCAACCTACATGAAACTTCGCGATATACTTAGAAACAGTTAAGACAGGGCTTTGAATATTTATGGATTTAAGCAAGGATTACAAGTTATTTATAAGGCTTGGTTAATAGGAATTGAATGCTTGGAAAACATTGCATTTACGTAAGCTAAGGGTTTTAGTAATAAAAGAAATGAAAATTATAAACACTCAGTACACCAGGTTAAGTACGATAACATCCAGTGCGAAACTATTGTTAATGTTGAACTCACTATGTTCATTTATGGTTTTTAGCTTTGTTAATAAAAGGAAGAGAGGTATAGAGATGAAAGAAAAATTCATATTGTTAATAGATCTGATTACAAAAATAGGCCATTACTAAATGCAAAATAAGACAGAGTGTTTATACATTTCTTAAAAGTTCTGATATCTTAATTTACTCATGAGAATATCCTCCATACACACATGTGTGACCACATACGTAAACTCCAGGTAGCATAAATGGTGAACCAACAATGCCATATCATCCATATACATTCCGCACGTCAATTTTATTCATCTTCCAGCATGCAGGAAGGAGCATAGGTTAGCAAAAACATTGTGTGCTGCGTAACCCAGAAAGAAGGATTGGCTTGGAAAAGTAGATTTTATTTACCACCGAGGACAATATTAGCCTATTTTATGATGACATTTCTGAGATATTTGCTTCTACCTTTGCTAATTCCTATAGCATATAAAAGGTAGTATCATCATGTATTCATTCAAATCATATAACAGTGCTACACAACAATCAATACCCCAAGGCAATCGCCCTACAATTTTCGGCGAGAATCATTTACTGATCCATTTCTTTCAGCTTTAAATAGAAAAGATAAAACCCAGTGATCTAAGGAATTTAAAGAATTCGTTGAAACTCTGTTTTTACTTATATATCTCAACTCACCCCAGATTAGCGTATGGAGCTTATTTGTAACAGTTGTTTATTTGACGCAAATACAAAATTACAAATATATATTCTATTAATACTATCATTTAATGTAGGTTTCCGTAACCTGAAATAATCTTATCATCAAATATATTAGGCATTTGGTAAAGAACATAAGTAAATACGTTTCTAGCTATAAACATATATTGAAAGAATTAAGCGCCAAATTTTGTAGCCTATGATGAGCAAACATTATTGCTGATAAATAAATAGTTATTGCTATTCAACACTTGATAGTTTGTATGTAGTACCACACTAATATCAAAATAGTAATGTCTAGCATTATCAATGACTTGTAACTATTTTATATACAAGTAGGAGAAACTCTTGTTTATAATCTGGAATGATAACAAATACATAATAATAGCTTGTTACACATGCATATTTTTATATATTATTCTTTATATGCATATATTAAACGTTAGTAAATACTGAAAATGGTACACAAGAAATTATATGCAATAGTGTCAATCTTGCCTAAGTATTGCTTAATTTCAAAACGAACTTGAAGTAGCTGCCAAAACCTGCATTTCAGTACACACTCTCGCTTAGGGCCCACCAGTATCCGTTACGTAATTTTCATTTAAGTATTCAACATCAGGCAACAATATTAACATTCAAAAATATGGCCATTTGTACAAATTCATTAAGAGCATTCTATCGTTGAAAAGAATTCATACTTCATATTTTTTAGTGGCCATTATGGATAAGTAGCTTTGACTGTATCCGTTGCAATTAAATGACAACGGCAATGAGTAAGCATCGAAATGAAGTATTTTAATAAAATAAATGTCTATTAAGTAACGAAGAGAGAAATAACGTATTAAATTTATTTCATAAAATTAAATCCTGGTTGTAACCATATTTAAATAGATGCATAGCTATTAAATACTTTGGTCTTTTATTGATTTCTTGAGTAACCAAGAATATCTTACATGCAATTTTAGTTTAAACGACTTGTAAAAATACGATAAAAATAATAACAAGAAAATAATCATTTTTAACCACTTAATACCTATCTAAAATTTCAAATAATGCGTCAATTATTTCCTAAGATAATAGCTAAATATGTATCTAAATATTACTAGTGCTTTAACTCGCAAATTATATAAGTAAGTAATGCTTCATAATGAATTATTGAAAAATAGATTAATTGTACTAACTTTATTTGCCATCACGGTTTATCCTCAACACAGTGTTTTTGCTCAATATAAAAACTTAAAGAGAACTTCATTACTCTCACAAGTCCGAATAATTGAGTGATTTTGAAAAATCGTAAGTGATGTTCATAATTTGGTGAATGACATAAAAAATTATATGACAAATAATATAAAAACAACATATTTATCAATCAATAACACCGTCCATATCTATTTCCTAGTTTTTTTTACAACCAACAGAGCATTGTATTAGGCCTCAACCTTTGATTGTTCATTACTCGGTAATTCTTAATTAGCCTTTAGAAGTTCATTAAGAATTTATTCAACACAAGTGTAATATCTGAGGTATCTTCAATAAAATTGCGTCCTAAGCAACTTTAATATATACTATAGTATAGTATATTTGAATATAATTATTTTTGAAGAAACCAACAATTCTTACTTAACTCTGGTGTATTTAATCTGTTATAACTTTAAGTATATCCACGATAACTTGTAATCCAATAATAAAATAAGCCATACAATCTCTGGTTAATGCATGTGTTACCTTATGCTTTCTTACTATTTTCTGTAACTAAAAATAGTAGGTTTGGACACTTTTTTCGATTCCTTGGAAAAGCTTTGATAAATGAAGCTTTATGAATTCATATTTGTTGGGCAGAAAATCTTAGGCACTTATAATTTTATCAGAGAATTATTTAGAATTATATTCGCAAAAATAAAAAGGAGAAACTGCATAAAGTTTCCAATTTTCTTGTAAATGCCAAGTATTCTTTCCATTCCGTTAGCAAGTATTTCAAGGTTATCCTTTTAATAAAAAATTAAATGAAATTATCAGGATTTTTATCGATATTATCCAGTATCTCTACAAGTCTTTGGTGATATGTAAATAGTTTATAGTATGCCAAGTGTATTAGTAAACAAAACTATCTAAAAATAATATTTATTACTACTAACTTGCCTCCTGCTAATTGTAATCTGATTTGCATAGGCATTTTCAGAATTTTTATTTGGCAAAAATATGGCAGGGTTACACTCTTTCACAATGAATAAATATGACTATATTAGCTTTCATACGACAATGGATCAGTATGTTAACGAATTAGGTTTCTAAGCTGATACCAATTATTGAATGACATGAAGCAAGTATATTTCAAATGCCTTATCCTAGATGGCAAATTAATATTGATATTTAAGTCAAAAATAAACTTACGATGCAGGTTTCAGGTGGCCTAATTTACGAACTTTGATATCGCAGAAAGTTACTCTTGGAAAGAGACCAGACTCCTCCCAGGTCTGTCCAGCAAGAAGATCTTTGAAGATCTTCACTCCGAACATCGTGTCGTTGCTGCCAATGAATCGCCTCATAAGATATATTTGGCCTAAATTGTTTGCAATAAATAGCATTCGCACCATGAGGAAGAGGAGCGTTACGCGTATACTGGGTGAAGTACCACAGAGATACCGAGCAATCATTCCTCGCGACCGTCGATAACGCGTTGCTGACTCAGCCTGCTCTTCCAAAGCAGCAACAAGACATGCAATAGCTTTTCTTCGTAACTCATGGTCAGGCACTGCAGCCTCACGAGCTGTCTTTAAGAGTATAGGAACTCGGCGGGACCACACACGCCAAAATATGTGAGGAACCCAAGCCAGCATTGCTTGACCTGCCAAAACAATAGCAACCCACTGATAATATGAGACGTATCGAGTTTTGTATAAATCGAAATCATCGTCAGGAATCGCTTCCTGCGGCAGCAAGAAGTAAGTATTCTGCACCCAACAGAGATTTTCGGCAAAGTCTTCCCAAGCTCCAGTGAACTCCTGGGGTACCCAGCACTGTATCGGCTTACCTGTCAAAAAGTCATGGATTTAGTACTAATATTAATAATAAGAAAAAAAATCAGTAAAATATGATTTAAACCATGAAATATATTAATTTTTTTAATTAATTGTAAAGGATTTCACTCTATTTATAACGGTGATTTAAAACCGGTACTATATGACTTAACGTTATTTCTGATAGGGCTCCATAAATAAAATGAAAACATTTTTACGGAAATCCACGTTATCCTATTCTATTCCGAAAATTCTAGAAAGCCTAATATTAAAAATGTTCAAGAAAATGTGTTAAGAATAAAACAAGTATGTATGCTATTAGACGTTATTTGACTTTGTTTTCACAACTTGGTAATATTAGCAGGAAGGCCTAGAGGAACATACCTTGCCCGAAGTCGATATAATGCATGATAATTTCCAGATTCTGACTGTGGAGGTGATACATTAACCGACGTTTCTACGGCATTGTAATCTACATCAAAGTAAGCCTTACCGTTTTTAACACCCCAGTACATCTCGTCAAATAGACAAATAAAGCCGATCCCTTGACCAATTCCCTGCTAAACATTTGTGGTATCTCTGCTGTTCTGGGCTATTGACCTATTCTATATCCTCGTACCACACTTCTACTATCACAATTTCTTATTTCTTATCTAAGCCTATTTTAAACCTGGTTACACTCCCGGCTGGTTTCCACATTTGTCTCACTGTGCCGAGAGTGTTGATAAAAGGCTGTGGTTTAATCCGCAATCCTCTCTTTTCGAGTCTTATCAAAGTCCCTCTATGGCTCTGTAGAATCCTACCCTTATCTGCCTGTTTCAATGATTTCACTCACTCGTTGCGACCTTCAATAACAAGGTGACAACAAATATAAAAAGGTAACAATCTTCACCAGCCTGTCAACGCAGCACAAGAAGGTAGTGAAACTATATTGCTCAAGAGTTTATCGGATCAAATGCGGCAACTTCGAACAGAAGTATATTGGGGAAACAAGAAGAAAAATTATCTTACGAGTCAAGAAGCAGTAAAGGCGCCGCAGAAACCTTTATATAAAAAGATCCGAAATAGCGGAATATATTGCACGGACGAGACAATAAATCGACCAAAAAGCGGGCTGCATATGGCGAAACTATGAAAAAATGCAATATACAAGAGGCCATCGTTAACCTGACCAAAAGCAATCTAATTTACAGGTGACTTGAAGAAGGTAGGATTAACAAAAATCTTGCGAATTGCTTAGGCAAGCTCAAAGAATATCAGGCTACAGCAAATAAAACGACTAGATGGAGGACAAATTTGAACATGAGGAAGATAAATCGCGAGGATAAGGCCATATATAAACATTAAAAAAACAAGAGAAGACGTGTTCATGAGCCTAGTCAAAACGAGTAAAACTGCATCACTTGTGGGTTGGCATACAAGAGACTAGGGCATAAGAAATAATAGACTTGGCTTTATAGATAGAAGCGCGATAGATGCGGCGGAAACTAGATCTAGTTGGCTACCAGTAGATATGTTTGATTATAGCCGTGTTCCATGAGGCAAAGGCTTGACCATGGTAATTATTCGGGATCGATGGCTTCAAGTTAGTCTTCCATCCAATTTGAGAATCCAGAATATGTCGGCCTACCCAGCGAGGCGGGGGTATATGTACCATCAAAGGATTGAGCTGGATTGTAGCAAATAATGCCTCGAGTATTAGAGATAGGGTGGCAGGAGGCAAGTAGAATATCTGAATCAGAGGAATAGGATACATCCTACAGGGCAAGAGGGAGACTCTGATAGGACTTATTGGAAAAGGATTGCGGAATAATATGGCAGACTCAGATTAACGTTCCCAGCACAATGGTAGGGAGGTGAGGTGAGAAATTTAGCAGGAGGTATGAAGATGTCTCATGAAATCCGCTCAAAATGGCACACCATCCCCAGTAATATAAGAAATTATTAGATAGTGATGGTGAAGAGAAGGTACGAGGATATAGGATAGATGAAAATCCCAGGACAGAAGTAGAGATACGAAAACTGTTTAGCAAAGAATTGGTCTAAGGATCGGCTTCACTTGTCTTTATGACGAGTTTAGTGCGGTGCCAATAATGATAAGGCTTATTGACGGTGTCGACTTCGATGCAGGCGAAAAGTCTGGGAATGCGCTAAGTCCACGGCCGACTCTGGAAATTATTATACATACTATGGACTTCAGACTAGATGCGTTCCTCTAGGTCTTCCTGCCAATATGACCAAGTTGAGAAAACAGGGTTAAACAACTACTATAATTACTTTATTTTATGAAAAATTCTCCTTTTTAAAATAATATTTAGTTTCGGAAAGAAATAAAATTGACTAACTCATGATAAATATAGATAAAGACAGATAAAATTTTCTGACTGCTAAGGACGAGGATATAAGTCGAAAAGACTATATTCAAAGGCTTATATTTACTCTATCCAACTGTAAGAATATTAAAATAAAATATAAAAACCAACTATTACCGTTATTTTAAAGTTTTCCATTCTTACAGGGCTTTTCTTAAGATAGCAATCACATTTTATAGTATTATAAAACTTAGTTTTAATTGCATGTTGGCAAACCTAATTGAGCTCTTTACGGAATAAAATATTAGCTTATATTTTGAAAAATACTTTGAATTTAGCGATATTTTTAAGTAATTTGATGCAATGTTATACTTTAAGCAAATAGAAATCAAACTTTATATATGCGCACAGCATATTTCGTAACTGTTATGTATGAAATTTAAAGATTTGATTGGCGGCTAATAATCAAATTCGTACACATTGTTATGTTTGACTATTCAAATGTTCATCAGTTAGGGGGGGCAACTGATATCAAAGGAAAAATAATAGACTCCCCGATATAACACAATGATATTGGAACTAAATTCGTTACAATTATTTTTTCGCAAAATGTCAGTGCAGCCTATTCAAGAGGAAATACGCTTGAGCGCTTGGATTAACGTTTAGGCCACTGATAGTTTATTTATTTAACTAACATTTGTATTTTCAGGTAAATTACACAATGATCGCAGGCTCAAATGAGGGCGTGATATCGCTCAAAGTTGGCAACCTTGAAAATATAATATTATTTTTCATAGATTAGTTGCCGTGCCTTATAGACAGACTTGACTTTCATGGCGAAATAGATCAAAATAATTTAAAGCTTCGATATAAGGTGTGAACATGACATCAATATAATGCTGTGATTCGTTTATACTTTATGCGGAAATTTGTAGTTCATTGTATTCTAACGCAAGTTTAAGATAAATAGCTTATTTGAACTATAATGTGAGGCTATTATTATATTTCAATTCTTCACGAATAGACAAAAATCAAATGACTATTACAACATATTTTTCGAATCAAGTATTGTTTTCGTGACTGCCAGTAAATCAGTAATATGAGATGTATTCACCTTATTTCGTTTAATGGGGTGAAGGACTGGTAGGATAAGAATTTTCCCACAATGATAAGAGTTGAGCTGACGTTTCCATAAAATTTCACATAGCCTTGCTTTCCCAAAAGTTGTTCTTATCCAGGGTGGACTGCAGTTTTGACCTCACATCGGTTCTTTATCACCTTAAATGAAATTGGGTGAATATATTTTATATTAATTATTTACTTAATTCGAAAAATAAAGTATAGCAGTCGATTGTTATTGCAGATATACGTTTGCTTTATCGACAATTTCACCAAAAGAAAATGATATGACAAAAAAGCCTGGCCTTCCTTGAAAATTCACATTTGCCCTGTGACCCAAAAGACGCTCGTGGCAGTGTAGCCGAGTGGTTAGCGTGTCAAGCTTCCATCCTGCACTGTCGCAGTTCGAATCCCGCTGAGGGTGTTGATTAGACCGATGCGAGGTAGAAACTGCAGTCCACCCTGAGTACGAACAACTTTTGGGAAAGCAAGGCTATGTAAAATTCAATGGAAACGTTAACTCAACTCATATCATTGTGTTGAAATTCTTCGTCTACAAGTTTTTCATCACCTTAAACGAAAGTGGGTGAATACATCTCATATTACTACGGAATACTTGCATATAAAGTAAGTAATTTTGAGTGGACCAGGGTTTATAGATCAAGGAGAGCTAAAGACAATCTCATGCCAGAAACTTTAAGATTGTTCATATTCAAGACGGAATAATGTTTTCACATGGAAAGAACTGCAAAATGTGTAAGTATATCTTCGCATGGAATTCCAAATTTTGATACATTCTTAAACATGGCTTTCAATTATACTCAAAATTAAATTATATTCTACCAAGTCAGTTATATAAATTTATGATAGTTATTAAAAAATGTTTACTTAAAATATTGCTTATAAACTTGTTAAATGGTTCAATAGCTCATCTGTTTACAGCATACAAAGAAATTAGGAATGATGATCTGGGGGCAAATAGGATTAATTTTACACCAACTAAGGGATAATTAGTCATAAAATAACATCTTATATAGTCTGTCTTAAAATATGAATAATGCGTATATTGCTCAACACTATATCAATTTATTGTGAGTAAATGAAAATTAAACTATCGATTATTAAATTAAAGATAGCTGATCTTCCCGGTAAATTGTATAGTTTACAGATATTTATTTAAAGGTGGACACAAATAAGGGCTATAATATTGGTGAAATTATACAATATACCAAATAGTATGCTTGCGAAACTGCTAAGCTTTAATTCAGTGAACCCATGATACATAATCAATATCTAGATAAATGGCTAGGAATGAAACAAGGGTGGAATGCAAACTCTAACTTTAGTTTCAGATTAAAATCAGAATCTATTATTCAAAGCAACTTTCTATGACCTAGGCAATGTAAGAGTTGAGGAACATTGTACATAAGTCTGGAGTAATACCTGCCTTAGCTAGGCGACTCAAGGAAATTTCTCTTGAATACAAGGCAGGCCTTCCCTGGCACACCTCGATCAAATAAAAAAAAACTTATATTTTCATCCAACATGACAAACTAATGTCATACCTTGACATATATTTCGTAGCCAAACTTAGTTATCTGGTTTATTTTAGATGTATTTAAAGACAAAAAAGCCCTCTTAATAAATAATATTTGCTATAACGGCTATCATCAATTGTGC